CCGTCAAGTTGCCTGTGACTCATAGCGACCCTATGTACAACAGCTCTGAACCCTGCTCTATCCTGAGACAGGATAGTGTCTCTGACACACCTACCCCTATTACCCCCAGTCACTGAATTACTCAAACTCATCGAGAGTCTTCTGCTGTTGCACTGTCCCTCCCCCTTCCCAAGCATGACGTCCCTCTCCAAGAACTGGTCCCGTCTTGCAACATGTCCAAAGAATGTCAGATGAAGCTTCAGAATCCTTGGCTCCAAGGAGCATCCTGGTTTCACCCTCTTCAGGATGAACTTGTTTGTTCTTTTACCCTAGTCGCTGTCCAGCTTTCTGATGCATAGCAAGTGATTGCAAAGACTGTGGCCTGCAACTTACAGCCTCATACACCCAAAGAAGAATCAGCTATACGTCAGTCCAGACTCCAAAGCACTCAGTCACTTCATTCTTAACAGTCACTTTATAGTACTCATTTTTTCAATGTCAGCACTTGGAAGGATAGTGCAGAGTATATTAATAAATTAATACCTGCCACACTTTCTGATTCTGTAACACATATCCTTAAAAAAAAGGGAAATTGGAGATACCGTTTTGGAAATATGAAAAAGCAAGATATCATCTCTTCAAGTCTCAGTTTTAACCATGAGAGAATTGAACTTCTGCAACACATTAAATGTGGCTATATTAATGTTAGATGACAATATCAAGGAAAAAAAAGACATCAAATTGACAATTTTTTAGGTACAGTTCATTGACAATAGTTACTCTGTTTATGTTCATATTGCTTCCCCAGCATTTAACGCTCTGTCCTTTAAAGTTTTTATCTGTGCTTTACTGTTCCTGTTGTCATTTTGATCTCTTATATTTCTTTAAAAGTAAGTAGTGCTTAAGAAATGAACGTGAATGCTAGTTTTTCCTTCACAGGTCTTTATACTTTGAGTTCCCACGAATAATGGGCATGTGTGTCACATATTATACCAATGCATAGTATGTATAGTGTAATTGTTGAGTACGTGATACTGGTGCAATGACATTCCAAGAGCTCAAAGAGCTACTTAAAGGAATCCAAGTACTTCAACCCCCACAGACTCTAAATGTTCTTACCCAGAACTTGTGGGATGGAACACAACAGTCGTCAAGTGCCAACATAAGCTATTTACATTCTATAGGCTAGTGCTTTATAAACCAGCCAGCTAGTTATGCTGCACTATTTGTTTGCTCTTCACCATCGAATTCCAGAGTAAAATACTAAATTATTCTTTATTTTTAAATACACTAATAACATTTTCAGACTTTTAATTTTACACTGTAAACTACCTTGTCTCTTTCTTTGCAAACAGTATAAAGAAATACAAGAACAAGAAATAATTACCTCAACATGGCCCATAATTTCCAGAAGTCTAATATTTATAGGTCAAATTATTTCTGGGAAATAAAGTTTAACGTTCGGGGTTAGCTTCAGGAAGGAATGGCAGGTTAGTAGAGATGCTACAGTGTCCTGCGTTTTCAAGAAAAACGTAGTAAGAAAATTTCCTTCTCTCTTGACCCCCTACCCCTTACAATGTAATCGAAATGCATAAGAAATGCTCTTTAAATATTACTAAACAAATATGACTTCTGAGTCCAGTTAGCTTATTAATGGGCATAACTCTAACAAATGCCTAGAAATGGTCACTTTACACAGTTTTATAAGGACCTTTTGGAAAGTCCTGGGTGATGTCAAAGAGTTAATATACTTGCCTAGTACTCGAAAGGTCAGAGATTCAAATTCACCCAGAGACATCTCGTAAGAAAAGTCTAGTGAGCTGCCTTTGAGTAACTCATTGTTGGAAACTCTACAAAATTTCCACTGACATGTACGTGGTGACCATGAGTCAGTATCAGCTCGAGGGCATTTCAAGTGGGTACCTCTGTTCTTGCATACAGGCATGCTCCATTTTACTGAATTTCATTTTACAGTGTTTTACATAAATTGCTCTCTGAGTCATATTTTCAAATCACTTCAAACGTCTATATAATGCTTTTGTGTTTTAAGAGACTGTTGACTAGAATGGACCTAACTTCCAAATACACTGGAAAGCCAAAAAAGTGTGCATGACTCATTCAAAGGCAGTATTTGCTTTAAGTGATGGTCTGGAACTGGAGCCAGGATAGCTCCAAGTCATGCCTGCACAGATGTCCAAGCCAAAGTTTTAAAAACAGTTAGCAACGCAAAAGATTCACTTATTAACATGGAATGAGATCATGAATTATACTCCATACTTGAAAAATATTAAACTAATAAATTTCCAAAAGAATAGACTTTCTTTTCTCCACTTCAAAGACAAATGTAAAAGTAAAATGAATGACACAGAAGTCACTATAATATTTTTAATCGAAAGCAATACATATTCATAAAGGTTTTTAAAAATGTATTTTCTTCTTTGAAATGGTAATAATGAAGTGTTTTATATTTATTTATTTAACATCATTTTCTTTTATTCCAAATTAAAAAATATTAACGTAGAATAATACATTTTGCATTTCTCTGCGCTGAGATTTATAAAGCACATTGTTGATAATCTCGTTTCTTTACTCTTGCTAACAAGGGAGGAATAATGTTTGCTAATTCCTTAAAAACTAGGATATAAGATGAGAATAGGGAGAGACACACACAAGAGAGGTTTTCTCATGCATAGGTCTGTCTTGTTAACTCTGAAAACTTACAAATAAGTATTCCACTAGTGCACTACTTAAGAGATTCTCCATAAGAAGCTACAAGGAGGAAGGTCTCTATTTGGTTTCTGATGGCACGTGACATTAAGGAAAAGTATCGACTCTGATATTTCTGCAGACATATATGTGGATCAGTCAAAGTTCATTTTCTCTTTGGAAAAAGCAGTAAATCATGTTCAAATACAATAGCATCCAGTATCATTCAATATCCTTACTGGAATACATTTTCAAATGATCTCAACACACAAACACAAAGATTCCCCTCTGATTCACTCATATATACGAACACACACGTGACTTCTGTATCTTTTTGTAAGTTCTATGTAATGAAAATAAGCCATCAGAACACTAGAAAGTATATCTTTAATTAATAAGACACAAAACTATGTGAAGTTACCCTTGGGGTTACCTGAACTATCTATTTGCAAAGCACATTTGTAAAATATTTAACATTCCTGGAAATAAAAATGTTTATTTCTTCTATAGTGATATTTATTTCTATAGTGATATTAATTTCCCTAAATTCACTTCTTCTCCCTTTCTAATTTTAAATTTGCTTCAGTGGTTTCTTTGTAAAATAAAAACAAAATCCTTGCCATTAAGTTAGAACAGACTCAGAGCTGACTCCATTGAGTTGCTGAGGTCCTAAGACTCACAGCGTGAGAGCCACTTGATAGATTTGAACCACCAGGGAGGCAGAGTCCTTGAGTGTTAATAGCCTAACTCCTCAATAACTACGCCACCATAACTCCCTTTATAATATAGTGCTCAGAACTATGGATGATACGAAGATCACTTTTTTCTTTTTTATATTACTAAGATGGTGTAGGATAGGGTAAGGTTTAGATCTGTTGTTCATAAGGTTGCTGTGAATTGGAGTTGACTCAAAGTCACCAAACAATAACATCTATGCTATTCAAATAAGATAAAGAGTAAAACTCACTGTTTAAATAATAAGGAAATTGAGATTGGGTAAGGTTGTACACTCTTGTCCGACTACATGCAGATACAAAAAAAAAAATAATAAAATAGGGGCTTGGGATTAAAACACAAGAGAGAACTTTCTCTAAAATTCATATAATTGTTCTGATGTCTCCCTACTCTTAGAAGTCAGTTAAATCCACCTCTTTAATTGAGGAGTAAGTAAATTGAGAGAGGAAAAAGGAGTAATGATTTTGTGAATTATACAAAACCAGGTATTGATAAAGTCAAGATCAAATATGCTCTTCTTTGCTCTGCCCTACCTACTGCATGGCTTTGGTTTCTTTTCAGCCCTGAAATAATGAGATACTTCCTTCCACAGAAATAAAGCACTTTTGGTATTAAGCTCGTTAAGCTCATAACTTTGCTATACTCTGGTGGCTTAGTGGGTAAGGAGTTGGGCTGTCAACTCATAGGCACCTGGTTCAAATCCACTAGCTGGTGTGTGGGAGAGAGATGGACCATCTTCTCTACTGCAGTTTACAGCCTCTGAAAAACCGACTGGAAAGTCAGTAATAAGTCTATTCCAGCTGGGTGGCATTGAATGAGTGAGTGAGTGAGTGGTATATCTTGCCTAACCTAAGATATTTTGAAAATTATACCAACTTTTCAAGCCAGGAAAGCATTAACTAGATAACAATGCCTCATAAATGTAACCTTATTGAACTTAAAAAAATGACCTATGATGTCTATATTTCTAGTAGAAAATGTTGATGATAGGGATGGTGAAATAATTCTAATTATACTAAAAGGAAGCAGAGTCTTTATCTTTTCTCTTTTAGCATTTGTCTTCATTACTACATTCAAGTGTCCTGCCTAGATAATGGATAGAGTCATGTACTTAGAGAATGTCAGACTTTTCTAATGGAATATTCCTCAACCTTCATGTTGCTATTGTTGGCACATGTCATTGACATGACTATGGCTCGTAGTGCCCTTACGAAGAACAGACCTGAATCCTGTCCTATCCTGTGCCACCCTCATAAACTCTGGCACACTTCAGCCCATTACTGTTGTCACTTTGTCAATCCGTCTGGTTGGAAGTCTTCTTCTCTTACGCTGACCCTCCATGTTCCAAGCATGATGTCCCAATTCAAAGACCAGCTTCTATTTTATAGCATCCATAAAATCAGTGTACTATTAGCAAGCAAACTGGCTATTTAGTATAGATTGATGACACTCACTTATGTGGACCTTGAACACTTTGAGGTCTCACCTTGAGACTGCCATCCAGCACCTAACACGATACACAAGAGACCACAAGCCTTGTCTGACTAGGTAATGAAGTCATATGAATTTGGCCAACTTACCCTTGAGTTAACCACTTCCAGGGAGATGTTCTGTGGTGGGGCACTCGGCACTAAAGAGAAGAAAACAATTTGAGACGGTTACTGCCAAAGGAATAGAAGAAACACTCCAACTCTGTCATGAAAAGAAAGAGTATGCATTTAGTCACAGTTCGTAATTTAAAAATATTCTTTTCGATTCATCCAGGTGGCACTCCCAAGTTTACTTGAAGAGATGAAAAATCATTGAATCGATTTACTTCTCTCACTTGGTTGCCAATTAGCCTTTTGGTGAGACTCCAACACAATTAAGCAAGAGACTACCTGTCTTGACACCTAATATGATTTAATTAGAACATTTTTGTAGTAATCTTCCCAAATAAACCTACAAAAGCACAAAGGAGGTTTGCTGGAGTAATCTTAAAGGCTCAGGATATTGTGTGTCTCAGGATTTGCATGATTTTACAGCAAACTATGTCATTTTGATGGTCACTCGTGTTATTTAATCTTTTTAATGCAATCTTTATTATCTCTTACAAAGGAAAAAACCAACACATACAACCTACAACAATATATTGGAATACATCCCTAATATTAGCATAATATAATTTGACCTTTTTTTCACAGATTAAAGAAGGTTGTAAAATAGTATTTGGTGAGCTGTACCAACGGTGGAGTAGAGTTTTGTTTTTATTTTCCTTATTTATTACTTAGAGATTTCCTATCTCTTACTTGCATTTTTATTATTCTACTTTTCCATGGTACCAGGAAGAACATATATGACATAGTTTTGAATATTTGTACTTAATCCTTTTTTAATGAATCTTTATGAAAAAAATAATATTTTATCGTATGAGGGATTTATAGTATAGTTGACATGTTATACATTATCAGTTGCCTAGGATTAATTATAAACACATGAAAGCTTTTGCCAATAGTTTGAATTGGAGCAGTATTTGATAAATTCTTAGCACACTTTAACGTACAGATTATCTAATGAGCAGTCACTATACTTTCCATGATACATCGATGAGTTTAATAGAAAAGAACTGGTTTCGGACATTCTGAAGACTTTAAGGACCATTTTCCCACATTTCCTTTTTTTTCTTTTGAATTTAGGTTACATGTATATTTTTCTAACATACTTACTATTTTTATTTAGTATTCATCTTTGTCCTACTCTGATCTTACTTTCTAAGAAGTAGTCATTATGAAGGTCTGGTATATATCTTACTCATTTTATTATATTTCAAAACTGATATTAAATTAGAATTTACTGAATGAATAAACTAATATTTATTTAAATATTATCTTCTTGACATTTCTAGGCACAATCATAATGACAATGACTTATTTGTTTTGTTGTAAAACTTTTCTTAATATTTGATAATATTTCTAGCTAATACACCTTAGAAAGAAATAGTCAATGCAAGGTTTTCCTTTCATGAATTGCATCAGTGGTATTTTTTCCCAAAAATTTTCATAATTTAGTATTTATATTTAGTGCATATTATACATTTTAAATATCAAATGCAAAATGTTTGGTCCTAGAGGAAAGAGAGTTTTACTTGTTCTTGTGCTACTTTCCCAGTATTTAGAAGGCTGCCCATCACATGAAGAGTCACTAAGTATACCCTAACTGGCCGACTGATTGAATATAAAGGTTAGCTCATTGCCGTGGGGTTGGAACTGACTCACAGCTGATCCTTCAGTAGGTTTGGGTTTTGGGTTTTGGTTTTTTATAAGACAAAATATTTTTATTCAAATAACGCCAAATAGGAAAAAAAACAAGATCTCTTTTATTCTGCTGTACAGTTTTTCACTCAGCTAAAACAAGCAAGCTACATGCAGCTCAAAACACAGCCCCAGAGAGGCCCCCGACAGCACTCCATCCAGAACTGCTTTTCCTATACATCTATCCTGTACAGACAAGTCAACAAAGGCTCTAAGTCACAGTGGGGGAAGCTTTCCATTCCTTCCAGGGAGATCTCTTCAGAGAAGCCCAACCTTAGACTTAGGAGCACAACTCTCTATGGACTATGCCACCAGAAACCCCTATAAAGGAGAGAAGACCTTTTTTTTCATTTTATTTTTGCAGTTGACGTTGTTCCTTGGGGAGTGATATCATGCTCAGAAAGGTGAAAGGTCACAAGAAGGAAGAAGACTCTCAAACAGTGAATTGACACTGTGACTACAGCAATGTCAGTTGTTTGAGCATGTCAGAGATTGTGAGGATGGCACAGGAGAGGACAGGGCTCAGATCTCTTGTTTATAGGGTCACTATGACACACTTGATGGAAACAACGTTACTAATAACTTATTAATAACTAATTACTTACTAATCTGTAGTGAATACTTTTACAAGGGTTTTGTCATGTGATTGATGTGGTGAAAAACAGGTGCCATCCACTTCCTAAACAACATGCCTCTGGCAACTCTGTGAACTTTGACAAACTATCATAGTTATAGAAAGGCTTCAAGTCTTTCATTCATAGAGTCACTATGAGTCATTCTCGACTCAACTGCGATCATTAACAACAACAACATTAATAAGTAAACGCAAGTAAGTGCTTGGTTGCTTGTTTGCTTGTATTGAGTTCTCTGTCTTTGATAGCCATTGTGACGTTTAAGAGGTTTTAATTCTGCAAATGCCATGAGATTGTAAGAGAAAGAGATGAATGCCTGTGAAACTTACAAGCAGAATCTATAATGTGGTGAAAATATGTAAAATTGTTCACTCCAGCTTCTGAAGTAAGCACGAGTAAACCTATGCTAACATGCTTGCGGGTAAACTGACACTGCTTGATGGTACTTGGATCACCTTTATCATGTCAGTCACAAAACTCAGTCTCTCAAACAACTCATCTACAAAAATTTTCATTATACATTAGTGTTCATACTTAATATATTTGCTTTTCTTTAAAGCTAAGAAGTTAGAATGTCTCCTGTATTTGTCAATCTTTCATATAGCCTCAACTCTTCAAATGCTGTGTATAAAATGTATCCTAATCACCTTTTCATAGACCCTTGTTGCCCCAGTCAATCAGGAAAAGACAGAGAACTTAATTAAAAAGAATAAAAAAATTCCTTTTTGTTGAAAGAGGAAAATAATACATCAGCTAGAAATAACCACAGATATGATCAGAAGTAATAAACAAACTGATAGCCCTATAGCAAGGCAGAACTTCGGAATAGCCAGGAAAGCATTAAAATAAAAAGTATAATGCTTTAGATTGTATGACTTCTAACTTTTTTGGGAGAAAAATCCTTTAAAAACAAAGTTTGAATGATATCTTAATATTGATCAAAATAATAAATTCTCAAACATGGAAAAATCTTTCTGGTTTATGTTTAGCATAATCTATTATTCTTACATGCCATATCATATTTTAGTAATCAAATAATATTAATTTTTTAGCCAATTAAGGAATAACAAAATACAATTTCCATAACAAATACTCAATTTATGATATGTGGTTGAATTTTGAAAGAAAATAGGCCGCATATTTGTCACATTTTAACAGAGGTACCTTTGTATGTTGAAGATATTGGATACCCAGTGTTACTTTCAGTTTTTAGCCTCATTCTCAGGAGGTCAATACTGCAATGAGGTATAAATAAAAATGTACAGCCTCCTCTTTGTAACTACCATCATTTTTAAGCATAAGAAATATTTTCGCTATTGGATATCAAAATACAAAGTAATAAAATTCTAATAATCCTTATGATGAAATATAGTCATAACATAAATATATATGTAAATAAATATACAAATATATTTACAATATAAATTTTTTATTTTCATTTATTGAATATTGGCTATTTTTCCTTTAGACAAGAAAGGAAAAATAGAAAGCAGTTTGCCATATAATGTATACTCCCTTCTCACTACTAATTGCCACTGTATTTAGCAGACAAGAATAGTCAATAGAGGAAAAGAATAAATAAATTTAATAGGGAATAGACAGAAATAGACATAACAGGCATAAAAGAATAAATAGATGTAAAAGAGCAGACTGGCTGCTTGGTAGAATGGAAGGAAATCCACATCTATCTTAGGATTTTTACATTTGTCATCTCAAGATGTCTCATTGTCTCAAGAGGCAAAGGAGAAGGATGTAGTTCATTGCTTTTCTCTCCAAAATGTCAAGTAATTCATCATTTTCAATAGGTTCATTAAATCCAATCAGAGGTGTTTGGTCTGGAAACTCCCTTCAATATGGTAGAACATGTTGATTTGACACACACATGGTGATGAGGCATTCTGTCTGGAAGATCAAGTTCTCTGAATGTTTGTAAATGAATCCCTGTGCACACTGGTACCTGAGTTCCTCTCCTCATCAAATGTGTGCTGTCATGTACACACGATTTGTAGATTTAAATATCTAATATTGAATTACAAGGTACTCTCCTGATTGAACGAACAGAGGATATTCATCATAGAAGAAGAGAAACTCAGCAAATTTTCATGTCAAATTTCACCTCTTTATTTACTAGCTTAAGTGAACTAGATCTGCTACTTACTACCTTTTGTGATGTCTCTCTAACACAGCTGTACCAGCTGTAAAATGGGAAAAGGGAAAGTGGTGTGGGATGAAATATTAATAACACAGTTATTAATTAATAAAGGGTAGGGTTGCACTAGAAAGTATTCAGTAAATATTAGTGGTTACAGTAAGAAACACACACACACACATACAGTTGTTGTTGTTGTTGTTAAGTGCCGTTGAGTTGTAGGCAACTCAAAGTGACCCTGTGAATGAAAGTCCTCAACACTTGCACGACTCTCATCCTTTTTCCAGATTCATAAGGTTTCCCGAGGCAAGCTATTTATGGAAGTGGATGCCACTCCTGCTTCCAAGCTTGTTTTAATTGGGAATCTCCACCAAACACTGTCTATCATGGGTAACCAAACATTAATGCATTTAACACATCAATGTCACAGAGTTCAGCTTCACAGCAACCACAAGTTACCTCTGTATGGCAAGTGGACACACCAGGGCTATATGACTTAGAAGAAAAAAAATATATATATATGTCCCTCTAAAGTGAGACTGAAACAGTTTTTGACACAAATAAGATAGGATACTTCTAATTAGGAATTCATTGCTATAAGATGTGCATTCAATCACTGAACTACTCATGTTAGGTAGTTCATTAGGTGGTATTGTTGATGCAACTGGCAGAACTAATTAAATGATATACTCAATATCAGACTTCTAAGGGGACATACATAGGTTCTAAAATCCCAGTGGTTTAAAGTGTTGGATATCTGTAAACCAGTGGTACATGAGGTGGAGGAAAAATGAAGGAGGACCAATATCTCCAGCCAGAAAAACCAATAAGACAGAGCTACACTCCAGATGACAGCGCATCTGAATAAAACTCATATAAGCATCTTAGCAGGACAGGCAGAAAAGAACCACTGGAATAATTAATAATAATAATAATTAGGAAAAAACGAATGCCTTTGCTCTTTATTTTCATTCAATCTTCCTTTGGTCTCAAATAAGTTTTATTATTAGAATTACTCTTATTTGGAAAGAAACATGATGTTTTCAACAACACAGATTGATGTGGATATAGTAACAAATTAAGTCAGTCCCAGAAATGGAACTTAAAGATACTGTATAGGGGAGCTCTGGTGGCCTAGTGGCAAGGAGCTGCAACTACAATCCCAGAGGCGCACGGTTCGAATCCACCAGATGCTCTGCCGGGGAAGGAGGGACAATCTCCTCCTGTACCAGTCAGATTTGATTTGATGGTACATGCACACAAAAATAAAAAAATAAAAATAAAAAAGATACTGTATATACAAATATGTAATAGTGTTGGTTCAACTACTTGATTAATTTAGTAAATACTTACTGAATTAGAAGGAATTCAGAGAAGATACAATATCTTACATTAAAGAAATTTTGAGAAATTGCCATTAAAAATAATCAGAAAAAATAAAAATATCTATGAATGTATGAAAAACCAATAAGTTGAAAGCCTTCACTCATAAGAAAAAATGTTGTCGTTGTTGATTTTTGTCAAGTCAAGCACGACTCATATAGCACTCCCATGAACAAAAAACCTGAAGACTTTCTATAACTATCACTGTTTCTCAAAGTTCATGGCATTTCCAGAGGCATGCTGTTTAGAAGTGGATGCCATGCCAGCTTCCAATATGAAAAAGAAATGATTTTTTTAAAAACACAAAGCATCATAGAAATGACATATCCTCTCAAAAACAGTTTTTTTTTTTAAAAAAAGACTAAAAATGTAAAACCCGTTTGGTAAAATAGTGTCTCCGTGAAAACGAAGAAAACCTTTAATAACAATATAGCCACAGCACCATGGTCAAACATATGAACAGTAAGAAAGGTGCTGCAGGACTGAGAATGAGGCTGTGTCCTGTCTTATAACGCATGGGGTCATGTGTGTCGGTGTGCACTTGATGACAACTATGTAAGTGCAGTGGAGGCAAAGAGCTGTGGACACTGACATAGAGAACATTACCAACTGCTTAAATGCATGCCGTTTTCTTCTTTAAGGCACGTCCATACAATGGAGCACTTCATTTTCCACAATACGTCTCTCCTACAGCATCAAAAAACCAACAACACAACAACAAACAAAGCTAAGGAGAAGCAATCTTCAGGATTGAGGACTAGAAAGAAGATGACTGTTAAATACGACCAAAAAAGTCCTAGCGGCTTCTCATGAATACCTGTAGTAGAAGAACAGTATCAGATTCAGGAGACCCAAGGGGTTTGGGTAACAGTCGAAGTAAAAGATGTAGGAGTTCTGTTGGGAATTAAAAGAGATGAACTGTAGGCAAATGAGGTCAAAAGGCATGCTGAATGGACCCTGAGGCCCCTCCTTCCCGTTTTCAAAGCTGTCTGGTCACTGCACAGTGATATTTGCTGGACTTGAGGGTAAGAAATCCTTGTATTTAGTGACAGACACTAGTTAAGCTTGATGCCTTTCAACATTTCCTAAAGATAATTCGAAGGCTAATGAGTAATAATCTATCTTTCTCACTTAGGACAGTTAAAACCAAAGTGAAGAATAGGACCACAGTATTACAGTTCAGGGTGAGAACCAAATTTGCATACATTATGTAAATTATACATGCTCACTTGTTTTTTATTTTTGTAATTATAAGTTGTGAATTAATTTATTCTGCCAATACATATTCAGTTGTGCCTTCAATAATGGAATTGGATGAATGGACATAAGGATTAAAAAAAAAAAGAATATTGAAGAGGTACCATGTATGAAAAAAATTTTTTCCCCTAAATTGAATTTGCAAAGGAGCATGACTTTCAAGTCCTTTTGTGTTGGCTTAATCCCATATGCCTCCCTCTTTGTCCCATTGATGATTGTGTCACATTTCAATCCATGTGCATTCTCAGATTAAAGAGTGTTATAAAGGACAAAACTAATATTTTTTTTAAAAAAAAATAAATAAAAGATTTAATAGCCTGCAGAGTTCCATAGGCTGGTATGGGAACTTTTGCTGGTGGCTCAGGGAGAAATAGCTTCTTGATTTTTTAATATTCAAGAGTTCAGTTCTGTATTTCCGTACCTGCCTGAGTTGGCATTGCACCCACAGAAACTGTGTACGATCTACTAGACTCTGGTCCACTTTTTATTAAATTCCTCAACATTTTATTATTGCCCATTCCTTCTGTTTCTAATTCCCCTGCTACCCTGTTGTTAAATTCTCACTCTGTTCTTTCTTTTTCTTACAGCATTTTAGAAAACATGCCTAGTCTATCATTTCTTTGACAGTGAGTAACTAAATGTATGTTTTTTTCTTACCTTGGTTTTGTTATTTCACTGCTGAATTCTTTATGACATACTTGGATTAAGAGATCTTGGTAGAGAGTTGTGCTGCTAAAGCAAAGGTGTTACCTCTTGGGCAGTTAAAATCCGCTGGAGAAAGATGGATAATCTCTCCCGAAGAGCTTTACAGCCTCCAGAAAAGCCATGAGAGGGTCAGCTACATGTCCCTTCAGACTCTAAGGCAATGAGTTTTTTAGGGGAGGTTGAAAGTCTCCATCTCATTACAAAGGATGCTACAAGAAACACGGCATTGAAGATTTGTCCACAGACTTGCACAATTGTGATTCTTAGAAATTAGTGCATTGACAAAGATAAAACAAAGATGCAAACAGTTTGAGTGCTAAGCCAGTAACTTAGGTCAAGACCTCCCACTAGTGAATCCTTGACTCAGCTCATATCCATCGAAAGGAAGTTTAAATTTGACTGAAGCAGTGTTGAGAAAATTAGCCCATTTTCTATTTTATGTCAACAGATCACCCTGAAAATTTTAGCTGGCCCTGAAAAATGGGATGCAGACACTATACAGTATTTTTTTTTCAGCATCGTCAGAATTTCAAGGAAATTTCGCTGCCATTAACTCACCGTCAGAGAGCGTCACCACAGTTATGTCCTCGGTAGAGATGCCTGGTCCATAACGATTGTAAGCTAGGAATCGAAGAGTATATTCCGTAAATTTTTTCAGGCCTTCCAGTTTATAAGACAGTCCATCAACTTCGATATTCTGGAGATATAAAAAGCCAAAACTGTTATTAAGGAGGCACATTAAAGCAGAGATGGAAGTCATTCTGTGCAACCAGCAGATTGGATATTACACTCTTACCCACTAAACTACAGCTTGGCCTTAAAATGCTTTACTGGAAAAAGCTAACTTGTTACAGCGACTCCTCCACCAAAGTCCCCCATCCTTTAAAGACTCCTTGTTAAAACAGCACCATGCTATTTTTACAGTCATTAAGCTTCTATTTGTTTAACATGGCCCAATACATTGAACGGTGTAGGTTTTTCTACGCACACAGCCAGCCACACTGGCAGGTAGAGAGCAGCGTGCATAAACCCCCAGGAACAGGAGCCACTCCTGTGGCCCAAATGGAATAATTCCCTAAGAAAAAAAAAACAGCAACTTTCTCTTTTCTCCTGCTGAAATATGCCCACGGCTTTTGAAACTGACAGATAACTGTGCCACAATTTTCATCTCTCAAAACATTGGGAGGTGCCTGGTAACTGTTTTCACCACTTCAGAGCTGCAGAAAATGAGGTACTAGGAGTGAAGGTCACTGAGGAAATCGGAGCCAATTCACTCTGGAAGGCTCGTGATTTAGCTGTGCATGGACACACACACACACACACACACACACACAGTGCACAGAATCACGCTTTTCATTTATGTAAAGGGTATGGAAAAGGTATGATTGGAGAACTGAAAACATAGAAAAGTGGATGGGATGGAAAGGTTGACAAAGACTAAAACAGCATGAGTTCAGCAAGGAAAAACAGTGATTACATAAGAGGAGATCTCAGTAATTTTTATTTTATGACGTAAGTTATGATTTGAATGATGTCCAAATAGACTTGTTGTGAAACACACTTTTAAAAAAAAGAACCAGATCATTCATTTCATGTGTGAGCACGTTGCTGGTAGGTCCACATAACTGAGGAATTCTGCATCCCAATGTCAAGTCTCTATCTTCAAATTTAATTATATATATTTTATATTTTTATATTATCTTTTTATTAATTATACATTTGTTTAATCTATGAACTCCAAATCCGCTATTGTTATATCAGTTCTGACACACGGCAACTTTCCATTGGGTTTCTGACCATGTACATCTTAATAAGAGGAGACTGTCTGTCTTCTCTCAAAAGGAGCTGGTGGATTGGAAACCCTGGACATGCACAGTCTTTTGGTTACCAGTACAATGTGCTAATTGACAAAACCACCGGAGTTCTTGAATTCATTTATAGGCCTGTCTACTTACTTTTACAAACAGAAAATTCAGAATCTGTGAAGAAGATATCTCCACAGTCATATACATGTCGCAAAAGACAACTGCCAAGGTTCATATGCCTCACTCTTGGCTTCTCTCATCTAAATTCTGAAGCTTCGTCTGACATACTTTGGACATGTTGCAAGGAAACACTGGTCCTTGGAGAGGGACATCATGTTTGGGAGAGTGGAAGGACGGCATAGAAGAGGAAGACCCTCGATGAGATGGATCGATTCTGTGAGTGGAGTGGTGGGAATGAGTGTGTCTGAGACGGCAAGGTTGGCACAGGATTGGGCGGCGTTTAGGGCTCTTGTACATAGGGTCACTATGAGTTGCAAGTGACTCGATGGCACATAACAACAACAACAACAACAACAACAACAAAGTCACCTACTTCTAGACTGTAGTTGTTATGTGCAATCAAGATGACCACAACTTATAGAGACCCTATGAATAATAGCAATGAAATCTTGCCCTATCTGGAGCTAACCTCACCATCTCTGACACATCTGCATTCCAGAGGAGAAGCATAGATTACAGGTCACGTGTAAGAAGAAGTAGAATAAACCTGTGACTGCAACTAACCCATTGTCATGGAATTGACTCTGACTCAAAGCAGTTTGAAGGCAGATAGAAATTGTCCCTTGTGGCTTCCAGCGCTACAAATATTGATGGAAACTTGACAGCCACGTCCATCTCCCTCAGTATTGCACTTGAAACCTGGCCTTTTTTTGCTTAACAGTTAAATTTTAACCACAGCTCCATCATGGTTCACTTTTAATTGAAAGTCACTGAAAACAGTAAAAAGTAATAAACAATAGACTGGAGGTGAAGTCTCTGGATGATACAACCAATTGACTGTCAACTGAATGACAGTTTGGGGATTCAAGTTCAAAATTTAAGATGTTCCTCAGACTAAAGAGCTGAAGGTACTCTCCTTTAAAAGATCAGTTACTGGTGGTCCTAAGGTGCATTGTTTGACTCTAACACCCATATGAGATCCCCGTGAATCAAAGCAAAATGATGAGAGAACAGAAATCATGTAAAAAGATATCAAGATAAGTGGTTTGGCTGAAGCCATTAAATGCAGGAGCAATGATCCTTTAGATGAAAGACTGAAAATGCCAGTACCTTCCAGTTCCAAGATAATTAAGCCAAAGGTGCCTACACTGGCCCAGGACTCTGCATCTGCACACCGAACATCAGCATCCTTTTTCCTGACTTTATCTCATTGCCCATTTACTTCTCTCTACGCTGTAATTCAAGTAAATTACTTAATGTTTCCAATAACAAGCACTCTAAAACTAATCAGCTATCCAATTAATTGCTGAAAACAAATGGAACCAAGCATTTGTTAGTCTTCTGCTAATTCCTAGCCTGTGATCTATCCTCTTGTTTCAAGCACTGTGGCCCCGTCTCTTGCCTACCTGTTCTTTTCCTGTGGCTTCCTCAGTGCAGAACAATCTGTAACCCTGGACTGGACCATTTGCATAGGCAGGGGGTTCCCAGGTAATTAGAATTGAGGTAGGTGAGGTAGATATAGCTTGTAGGTTTTCTACTGGCCCTGGAACTTGCACTGTAAGAGAAAGAAATTCATTAGTGTAAGAGGATTCTCTTTTCTCAAAATAAATAAAATTACATTTTTTTTTACAGTTCAGGAAAATCATATATAGCAGCACGGACTGGGTCTTAGAATAGCATAGAATAGGGATATAAAAATACAATAGAATTCTAGAATCCATTTCATTTTAAAATTCAAAAGAGAACTTACATTAATCTAAATTACTTATTTCATTTTGCAGCTAAGGAAACTGGCCAAAGGGTTTAAGTGACTAGAATAATGGCAGAGAAAGAATGGGATTCTTAATCTAAATTCTTGGGCTGGAAAATTCTTTACAAGTGTGCTTTTGCCTGTTTATTGCTAATAACTGCAGAAAGAAATGAGAATGTGCAATTAGAAGACCTGGACATTATGGTTCTATTTATGATTCAAACAGGCAATACCACTCTGAGTAATTTCACCACATTGTCTTTATATCAGCATCATAAAATCTTGCTCAATTTGGAATTCTTCATATGAATTTCAAGATTTCTTCAGCAATTTCACTTTCCAGTATTCCATTTTCTTTCACCCTGAATTATTTGCTTAATTAAGAATTAGTTCATGAAATTCAGTCACACAGGTCCACAATGGCTTAACCCAAATCCTTGGGGTAGTCTATCACCAAGAAGTGTGGGAATACGGGCCACACAGGGTGATCACATTGTAATGGTGACACCACAGTGACTCTCTGTAATACTCTGTTCAGTGTTTCAGCTAAACTAGGTAGCCTAATGGTAAGAAGCTGCATTGCAATCCTTAGGTATGTGGGTTTGAATCCACCAGCTGCTCCTTGGGAGAAAGATGAGCACTATTCTCCCATGGGGTTAACCAACTGCCTCTTAAAACCCATTGGAAGGTCAGCTATGGGTTGGTTCTGACTCCATGGCACACAACAATAACAATACTAATAGCCAATTATAGCAAAATTTTTCATAAACACAGATTAAAATGGGTGTGTGTGTGTGTGTGTGTGTGTGTGTGTGTGTATTTTAAATTCTATGCTAATTTACCTTTTTTTTGTTACCTTTTTGCATTAAAAGTTTGGGTTTTGTTCCATTCATATACACTATAGTTTTTACATTCCTTCATTTACATTATGTTTCATTTGATCATTCCAGAATATTGTGTCTTACAAAATTAATCACCATCGATCTACGTTCATTATTATCTCATTTTTTTTTCTTTTAGATCTCAGTGGGTCTTTCCCAATTCCTTCACCCTTTCCCTCTGCCCACCAAACTCTGTGACATCGTGATTTGCTTCCTCATTCCTCCTGCCCCTTCTCCTTCCTTCTTTTGGCATTACACATTCTGGTGTGTGCCATCCGGTCAGATTGTCTTCTACTCATTTATAGGAATGCTTTGAATTACAAAGTCTCTTCTGCATGCTATACGCAAGCTCATACTGGTTTTACTACCGAATGCTTTTATAGGTACTGAATATGTCAACTTTTCCAATGTTTCAGTTAAATATTGTGACAATAAGTATTTGTGAACTAATATCTGAATTTTTTAAAATGAACTCATAGAGTTTATATTACTAGTAGAATAACAATCTAGAAAAATAGGGCAAGATGGTTGAACAATGGAATTAATATCACTGCATTATACATGTTGAAATAGTTTAATTGATGTATGTTCTCCTGTGTATATTTACCAAAACAAGAGTAAAATAAAATAAAAACAAATAGCAAAACAACTTTAAAATGGGTTTCTATTAAATTACTAATAAAGTTGTATAACAAATAATGCTGTGAATGGAAAAATAATTTACAAATGAATTTTGTGTTGATAGGTACCATCAAGTCCATGAAAAAGATTTTACAGATGGCTTTTGTTGGTGGTAGGTACCATCAAGTCCACCATGTCTCCCAGTCACCCCATGAACAGCTGATCTGAACTTTCCTCTGACCTGTACTATCTTTGCCTGCTCTAGCACTCTCAAGTCCATTGCTGCAGTCACTGTGTCAATCCCTCTCCTTGAGGGTTTTCCTCTTTTGCACTGACCCTCAACCTTTCCCAGGAAGATGTCTTTTCCCAAGGACTGGGACTTCCTGACAACATACCCAGAGCATGAGTGTGTGAGGTGAGGTTTCACCGTCCTTGTCTCTACAGAACATCCTTCTTGTACTTCCTCCAAGACAAATCTCTTTGTCCTTTTGGTTGTTCAATATATATTAAATAATCCTCTCCAATATCAGAATTCAAAGACAGCAGTACTTTTTCTATCTCATTTATTATCCAACGTTCAGTTGGGTATGAGAACATTGAAAATGCTATGGCTTCGACCATCCTAGTTTTTAAACTGGCATTTCCTTTTAGCACTTCAAAGTGGTCCAGCATTGCTGAGTTCCCCAATGAAACAAATTTTTGGATTATCTGGTGTGTTTGGTTTTTGTTGTTGTTATTTGTTGTTGTTGTTTTTACTGCTGCTACCGTGCAGGGAGATTGTGAATAGAAGTCAAAACAAATAGAAGAAATGATGAAGAAAGAGTGCTAAATAGCAGACGTCAAAGACCAGCTCGAGAAGAGAAAATAAAGTATTACAAGAAAATTGGGGGAAAGCTGGAGCTAGGAAATTAAAAGGGACAATATGCTTGGCACTTTAAAAGTTGAAAGAATCTTTAATAAATTCAAGTCTTCAGTTGGAAAACTTAAAATTCTATGGGGAAAATATTGAATGATACAGGAAGCATCAAGAGAAGATTTTGTTTACACCATTCATATATCTAAAAATATTTTATTTAAGTACTTTACAACTATATCACATATTATTTTATTATTAAAATGGATAATGATTACTCTTAAGGATTTATATATAAAATATTATATTTAGGCATTTTACAACTATATAACATACTATTTTATTATTAAAATGGATAATAATCACTACTAAGGATATGGTATGGTATGGTATGGTATGGTATGGTATGGTATGGTATGGTATAAGTTTGTATGGTATGGTATAAGTTGGTATGGTGTGTAGTGGAGTGTGACATCAAGAATTATCATATTCAGTGAAACTAACCATAAGTATGTCACTTCCTTCTGGCTGGATATGTTTCTATATTAATTTTTTTCTATCACAGAAAGATGGTGTAGTACAAAGACAGTATTTTATATAACATCTCAGTGTAAACTATGATAGTATCTTGTTATCAAATGCAAGTAAAATATATAATTACTCTTATGTTATATCAGATACACTTGTTGAAGACTATCAACAATCTTTTCCACCTGTTAGTCATTTTGCCCTATCATGGTGACTTGTATGTAGCTGTGAGGTTAGAAGTTACTGCATCAGTATTTCAAATCTCATGAGACCACATGATTTTCATCAGTAAAATGTCATTGTTTCAGACTAAGACAGAACAGGAAGAAAGGTAGGGCAATATGTTTCTGAAAACTAAGCAATAGAAACCTTACTACTGGAAAGAGAATCACTGTCCATTATAACTCAGAAACATTACCTCCTTAGTCTAGAAGGCACCCAGACTACACAAAGTCAAAACAATGGACTCAAGCATAGATATAAGATGGCCCCAAACCAGTCAATGGTTCCAGCTACTACACACAAAGTCATCACGAGACGGAGCCACATTGATGGCAACTAATAATCACACAACTAACAGTCCACAAGGTCATGTTGATTTTACCTTACAAACGAATTAAGAAACATCTTCAGTTTGCTGGATTTGGAACGTTCACCTGAATCTAAGTAGGTTGTGTTGCTGTTATGTGCTGTTGAGTTGGAATTGACTCATAGCTAACCCTCCTGCAGGGGTTCCTGAATAGAATATGTGTTTTGTAATTGTAAATGTAATACCCATGTTAGCTATTGTTAACTAAAATAAGTAAATCGTCTCAACAATGCAAGTATAACTGCATCCTGTTATAAAAATGTTGTGTATTTTCCCTAGCTATGGATATCACCTATATTTAGACAAAAATACAATTCCTAACACAATCCCCTAAGTTGCAACTCCTATAGCAAAAACAACATATGAAAAACAGTTTGGTGTGACATCTGAATCCTGTACCGCTAAGATAAACCAGTAACTGTCCCTGAGTTATTTCTTTCAGATTTGCTCCTATGGAGTGGAGCCTACTTAAAGCAACACTGCTCACATAATCTTTTTGGGGAAAAAATATTTTCATGTTAGAAACATATTTGATGCCACCTACATATATTTTCTTACCAACCTAAAGTTGTGAGGATAATTTATTTGACACTTGAATTTTTTTGCCATAACAAGTATGTATTTGCTTGTCTTTTAAAGTTAAAGACAAAAAGCTTTCTCCTACAGAATAATTTCAAAACCACAAGGGAAAGAATAAGAATATAAAACTCATATATACTTATTTTTAGATTTGTGGTTGTAATTATTAGATGTCATCAACTATGACTCATAATGAGCCTATGAAAACCAGATCTTTCCTGCTCTGTCCTCACCTCTCTGACATGCTTGAGCCCACTGTTAGTCTCCACCTTTCTGAGCATGATGTCTTTCTCCAAGGAAAGGTTCTCCTAACAATGGGACCAAAGGAGGTGAGAAAAATTGTACCATTCTTGCCTCTGTGGAACACGTCTCAAGTGTGTCTGATTCAGGCTATGGGCTTTTCAATCACTCGCTATGCTAATGAGCACTGGACAATGAATAAGGAAGACAGAAGAAGAATTGATGCCTTTGACTGCTGAAAGAGCAAACAGATACATCTTAGAGAAGGTACAGCCAGTGTGCTCCTTGGAGACAAAGCTTTGTCACACATACTTTGAGCATATTGAAGGCTGTAATCTTTAATCTTCAAAAAAAAGTGTTTCAAGTTGTCTTGCCTTTCTGCAAGCAAGGTTGTGACATTTGCATAATGAAGATTATTCATTAATCTTCCCTCAATCCTGACACCACATTCTTCTTCATAGTGAGATGGAGAGAATGCTATTGAGATTTAGCCATTGTGAACTCTCTGCTCCAT